AATATTCATATTCAGAGATAAAGTGAGCCATAGTCTCATGACTAAGCAAAATAATCTAATTTTACAGGTATGTGAAAAGACTAAGTCAATGCACATAGAAAAGCAGCAGAATATGAAGTTGTCTTGAGTACTCTTGGTTACTGAGTACCCTTTCCCAAATCTAAACTGTTTGAAGTTTGATTTTATTTCATTTTTTCCTTAGACACTTGAAACTTTTATTTTGCTGTACACTCATCATAATTACCTTACCCTGAATATTTTTTCAGGGTCCCAATTGAAATAAATAATACAGAATATAAACCATTTTGCAAGACTACCCTGTTCCATGATGGAACATTCAAATGAACACTATGCAAGTATACATATCCTTAAATATAGTATATCTTACTGATTATGAGTAATGATAACTTCTAACCCATAAATCAAAATGTTCAGCTTCTATTCTACTTCCTAGCAGCTAACACTCTACCTACAACTGGCCATAGATTCAAATTCTAAAATAAGTTCCTCTCCACTCTCTTTCAGACAGGTGCCATATATTCTCTTGAGTACATTCGTCATTGTTTCAGAAAGCCATACAAATCTAACCATTTTGAACCACTGATTCTTTTGTCATCTTTGGCTATAAGTTTTGACTATAAAATTTGAAAGGATATTAGTTTAGCTCATAGTTTAAAAGACATACACAATAAAAATATTACCGATAATTCTACAAGAAAAATCTTCTTTTTTGGGGGGCGGGGGGTCTGGTCGTGGGGCCTGAACTCTGGGCCTGCGTACTGTTCCTGTTCCTCAGCTCTTCAGCTCAAGGTTAGCACTCTACCATTTGAGCCACAGCACCACTTCCAGCTTTTTTTTTTCTGCTTATGTGGTGCTGAGGAATCGAACCCAGGACTTCGAGCATGCAAGGCAAGCACTCTACCACTAAGCACCTTCCCAGCCCAAATCTTGTTTTTATAAGGAAAACTGAATAAAAAGCACCATATAAAGATGCAAAATAAATGTATTTCATGATTAGTGAAATTAGACTAAGAATCTTTTCTCAAGTATCCTCAGTTACTCAAATTTTGTTTCTGCCATACACATAAGTATGGGGAAGTCAAAGCCATGAGTCCTATTAATCATGAATACTATTTCTTAACCAGTAATATTCAATAATTAAGATAATGATGTGTTTACCATGCAAATACCTTAGTTCTGCATGGTTTAGAAGCTTTTCTTTTCCAGAGAGAGGAAAAGCTGGTAACATTAAAGGTATAGAGAATAGCAAATGAAAACAAGAGTGAACATTCATGAATGAGAATGTGGAAACTGAAGACAAAGCTTAGTAGTAGAACACATTCCAGGTCCTGGGTTTGACCCCCATATAGGGGAAAAAAGAACAACAGGTAAGGCCACGCATTTCTACATGAAAGGGAGAAAACTACATAGAATGCACTTGGGATACATGTACTATGAAACTTATGGGGATGAATAGCTAGTCGGCACTTAGAATTACTTTAGGAAGATAAAATTGCTTCATCTCTCTCTATTTTCAAAGTTTACAAAAGCTGCCAGTAAAGAAAAAATGTTATATTAAAAGTATAGGGGGAAATACTTCATATTTATTATTTAACAATATCTAAGTTATGCAATGTCAATATAATATTAAGGTACTTTCTGTGCACATATGAAAGTCATTTTCTTAGTAGTAGGTGAGTAAAATACTATAGAAACATAGAAGAGAGGACGTTAATTTGGCTTTCAGAACCTGAAACAAGACTCAAAGAATGAGTATAACTTTGTGGGGAGAAAAAAAAGGAAGAGTATGCTGTTCAGGAATAAGAGTTATACACTAACAAGGACAGTGACAGTGGCTAAATTGTCTGTACGTTCAAGGAATGTCTTCTATCACAAAAGGATAGTGATCAGTCAAATCTAGACAAGAAGATTATAACCAAATTCTGAGCAATACTAAATATTATTCTGTATTGCAGAAATAATTTCTATATATTTGGAGAGTACAGATTAGTAAATAATTGAAGGACAATAGCTTAAGACTGTCAAAATTTCATTTTGCCAAGTGATGGCATTTAAAAGGAAAACCCACAATTTAAAAACCTATCATGTGATAAACTTTTATAAAAACCTTATACTCTATATCAGCATAGAAAGACATGAATATTAAAACTGGATATATAAAAAAAATCTTTTGAGTATAAAAAGTGATAAAGTTGTACTGAACTAAAGAATCACATAATAAATTAACAATTTTACTTGTTCCAGTATCTCATTTCTAGTCTAGTTACTTTTTAAATTATCTACATTTAGCTTTATGTCATGTTATCAGTAGAGATTTACTGTTAATACTCTTTCAACTCAATTTAGAATAGGTGAGGTAAATGCAGAGGAGCCCTAAACCTAGTTCCTAGTTACTCAACCGCTTTTCTCTAACTTTTCTTTGTATAGTGAAAGAATTCAAAAGCTGAGATATCTGGCTATGGAAAATTCTGGAAAGGAGGTTATACATGATGATTCTGAAGAACCAGACAACAGTTAAAAAGTTAACAGAGTAATTCCAAAGAACACTGTCACAGACTTGTTAAGGAACTGGTAATGTAAGTCTTATAACTTTACCTAATTTTACCTCTGCTTTAGCATCTAGACAACTCAGTAAACAATTTGTGACTTAATTTTAGAAATAATGTGACACCCATTACTGATAATGTTACTACAATAGTAACTTTATTTTATATTTTAATTTTATCTTTTAACAGTATTTATGGATTTCATCAATTTTGGAAAAAAACACAAATGAATAAAAATAAGAGGAATAGCTATGGATTCGTTTTCAATGAATATTTATTAAAAATTTTAAATTGTAAAAGTGCGATGTCAGAAAAGTAGTAAACTATAAATTACAGCATTTTTGCTCATCACTAACTTGTAACTAGAGGGAAAAGAATTAAAACAAAATAAAGTAAAAAATTACCCTCTAATAATTTGGTATCTTACAAGTCTTCCTCTTTTATCTACCTTAATATTTATGTCATCTTGTATGGCTTATAACATAGCTTGATATAATATTTGAATATTTGAGGAACTAGACTCTAAGGTAATGTTTTAAGAAATTATTTTCCAACAAATAATTATAAATATCATAACAGAAAGCTAATGGTTTTAAGAAAAAACATTTTTATATTAATGGTGATTTTAATAACAAGAAGATAAATTTAGGAATAAAAAGCTATGTGAAAAGAATCAGTACATTTTGGATAAAGTAAGTTTAATGTATCAGCACACTATCTGGTTGGAAATACTCATATAAGGTAGCTCAAAATCTGTGTGGAATTCAGAAAACATAGTGAGCTGGTACAGTAATTAAGGAGAACTAAGCAAACACAAACTAAGCTTTCATAAATGTATACAGATTTAGTAACAGGCAGGAGTAAGAGACCAGGAATAAACAATTACTTTGATTCTGTCAGATGTTTATGCCCTTAAAGGAGCCTTACAACTATACCTTGGCTATAGTTTTGTTATATGTATGTATGTATCTATCTATCTATCTATGTTTATTGACTTGTAATTATTCATTTTTACTCTGTTTGCTCTTAGAGGTAGAGATACAGTTTTTAACTTCTGGCACTAAAGATGTAAAAAATTCATATTTTCTGAATGAATCAATGAATAGCCAATTGTGTATAATCATTGATATGTCAACGAAGCTATTTAAATTATAGGCACAACCCGTGGTCAAGAACTACATAATTTTTAAATTTGCTATCAGTGACCTTTAAAATACTGCAATTCTTCTCCAAGTCCTGTTCTCTGAAACATTTTCTACTTCATTTTGTAAATAGGAGTAATAAAAATAACAATGACAACAGTAGCACTAAGAGAGACATTTCTACTCTTGTCAAAACTACAGCAGCCTCCATTTTATACCCCCTTAAGGTACCTCTCTTGGCTGCCCTTTCCAGTTCACTTTGCTTGAGCCATATTCATGGACAATTTTCCTCTTGAATATTGCCATTAGGTGCCTTTGTTTGAAAAACATTATACAAGGCTCATTATGGAATTTAATTCTTTCCAGAACACTGGAATGCTGTCATTGATTACACTGTACAGAAATGAAACTAAGGTACCAAGAAGCACAGTAATTCACAACGGCATAGAGCAAGGCAGTGGAGCCATAGGCTGTTATTTGTTACTGTTTTACCTAATTAAAACAATCAAACACTGTGCAGAAGCAGTAGATTCGACAAAACAGGTGCAGAACATTCTTGCTTCCTTGGTAAACCAGAGGTTAAATCTAAAGTATTACATATGACAGCTAACTCCAAGGACCATATAAATCCATATTTACCTACTCAATTATCTTGATATTGATTTCTCCTTTCTGAAGCCCACAGATAGTCATAAAGTTAAACTTTTTAAAAAAGAAATAAAACTTTGGTTAGCCATAATTTTCAAAGCTACTCTCTTGGTACAGTTTCATAAATGGAATTTTCACCACAATAAATTTCTCTCCTTTGCCTCAAACTACTTAAGCTGTTGGACAAAAGATAGGACTTCATCAATTCCCAGTTTAGTATTTCTAAACTCTTTAACTCTCAGTTAAGAATTCTCACATTAAAAATGCTACATGAATAAGTTATGTAAAGAAGCATGGCTCTCAGATTCCAAAGGACATTTTAGAGGACATTGTTTAATGGGAGGATAGTAGTAGCCCTGATAAGACTGAAATTAGAAGAGCCAGAGGTTCCTACTCCAACACCTTATATAGTTTGTTCTTGTTTTCAAAATTCTGTCACTGGCATTGTGCAGAATGTCATTTTAAAAAGATAAAAAGAAACCATATGTTTAAATTCTTACTAGAATTTATGGATGCATTATCTTTACATTATTTTGGCAATATATATATATATATATAAATATATTCTTCTAGAAGCAAAACTTATGCCATGATTCATGATACATTATAGAAAACTAAAATAATTAAAATAGAGAAATCATACCTTCTATTAATAGCTCTTGTCCATGACTGCCAAGAAGTGTACGAGATAGGAATGGGGCAAAGTCTACAAAAATTTCACGAAGAAGAGGAGCAACTTTTTCTAAAGCTCTTTCAAGTTTTGCAGTGATGCTGTTGAAATTAAGACATAAAGACTAATAAATATAATTCAATATAAAATGTCAAATAAACTTAACTTCTAAATTAAAATCTTCACAATTTATAAACCTCCAGCTCTAGCCCATAGAATAATAAAGCTTCCTGTAGAAGGGACACTGTACAGTTTCAAAGTCACAGGCTACTCAAAAGATTCCAGATTAGGATGACTACACTATGAAAAGGAATCAGAGTTGTGTCAAATGTCAAGTGTCAAATGTCAAGAAAGTTATTTCTTACATGTCTCATGTGTTAATCCATTAAAAAGTGAACATCTATTATATGTTATTCCAGTTACAAGAAACTTAACTATTGTTCTCAAGAAGGAATTCCTAAAAAGCTGGACAGCTAAGGAAGTAACTAGAATTTGGCTAAACTGCTTTGCAAAAGTAGGCATTTTCTGTTTCATAAACCCATTTACTTTTCTTTATAAATTCCTGCATTATTATTGATATTGATCAAGTATTGAATTTTAAGCTATTGGCCTTACATGAATACTGGGTAGTGTTCTTGACAATAGTTTCATGTTATATATAAAAATGGAGAAGAGAACATTCTACTTGGGTGAATAAATAATTTGATTACAGATCTCTCTCTCTCTTAGAAATATGAACTTTGGCCAGAAGTCAGTGGCCTGTGTCTGTAATCCTAACTACTCAAGAGGCTGATATTTAGAAGATCATTATTCCAGGCAGAAAAGTCCTGAGAACTCCATCTCTGAATAACTCCAGCAAGAATGCCAGATGGTAGAGTACCAGCTAAGAGAAAGAAAGCAGTGAGAGCACGAGACCCTGAGTTCAAGCCCCAGTAGTGCCCCTTTGAGAAGAAAAAAAAAGAATGTGTTCTTTAGAGAAAGATTGCTTGGAATCCTGGTCTGCTAGATGCAAGCTAGGTGGTCATGGGACATTAGATTTTCTATGCCTGTAAAATCAAGGTATTCACAATACTTGGTGATTAAATAACACTATGCCATGTAAAGTGCATGGAAAAGTACCTGGTACATAGTGAGAGATCAATGTTAGTTTATGTAAGTTATGGAAGATGTGAGGTCAATAGATTAGACTTTCTTCTGCAGGAAAGACAAGAATAGTAAGAAATCAATGCTTCAAAATAGATTTCGTCTACAACTACATCTGAGGATACACTTAAGAATGAAACAAGAATGAAACTAATTATGGAATAATTTATAATATATTAAAAACATTTAAAACTAAACTCTGGCATGGACTTTATTCTTTAAGCAACTCATAGAAATTAAGAAGTACTACAAATTTCTTAATGTGGAAAAAGCAAGCTCAGTACCAGCACTTCTATTTAACTTTTTCTATTCTTAACTGGGTCAACACTTTCGAGAAAGAGGCCAACATGGAACAAACTGAGGCTTGTGCACTTCCACAAACAGTCGAAGAAAATGTCTGGAGGGACATCAGTAAAGAAAAAAACAAGTGGGAAGGGCTTGGAGTGAAGACCCAAGTTTGTAGCATCTGCTTCACACTGCTACTCCTAAGGCAATCACCTACTATAAAACAGAGGTTTTCAACCCTGCTGTGGTTCAGAATTACTTAGCTTGATGAAAACAGACTTCAGTGCTCCCCTCTTACCCTCCCTACAATATTGATTCAGCAGAGATAGGCATGCAAGGAGAACATGTACTTCCAACAATTCTCAGGTGACATTGATTGAGGCTGCTGATCAGAAAACACTTTGAGTCTGACTGCTATAATGGAACGATTTAAATATGTAAGTAGTAATAGTAAATTAAGTATTAATTTAAATTATTAACTTAATTTAAAAGGTAGTGCAAAATGAAATAAATATCCCCTGCCCCTAAAATTTGCCTGAAATCACAGAATAACCATTATCACAATAAATTTCTCTGACTTTTAGTACGCACAAATAGAACTTCTTTTACTGCCATCAGGATCATGTCTTAGAATTTACCGGCTAAATTAATCACCTCTATGAAGAAATGATATGTAAAACTTGTTAAAAGTGAGCCTATGAGAAAAATCTACCTAATTATTGGAAGCATAAACATGTATTTTTAGTTGAAATTAAAAGAGGGAATAAAATTACTTTTGAGAAAAATTCTGGATTCATGAAAGCTCACATTATAACTATACTATTGGGTTGAATTTACTAATTATTATAGGGCAGTACTCAAATGGTAAAGCACTTTACCAGTAAGGTTTGGTTTCAATATAGTTCTGAAAAGTCATGTATTGCAGATCAATAAAAAGTTATGAAATTCAAATGGCAAGAAAAGACCTCCTATCCACTTGGGGGAAAAAGCAGGATCTGATGTTTTACAGCTGAATTTGATGAGACCTTTAAAAGAGAACTAACACTAACATTCCTCAAACTCTTTAATGAAATAGGAAAAGAACACTACCAAAATCATTCTATGAAGCCAGCATTTTATTCTGGAGGCTAAGATGTGAGGATCACAGTTCCAAGTCAGGCTAGGAAGAAAGTTCAATTAACTATGCATACACTCAAAAAGAGCCAGAAGTGGAGCTGTGGCTTTTTGCCTTGAGCAAAAGAGCTTAATAGGTAGCTTTTCTGTACACCAACAAGAGAAGATCAGACTGGACTGAAATCAGGCACTTTTACTGTATACTACATCAGTTGATTTTTGTTTTCTCTTTCTTTCTTTCTTTTTTTTTTTTGGTGGTTAACTGATGCTGAATTCTGAGGCTTAGGTCTTGGTTCCTGAGCTTTCAAACTCAAGGCTGGTTCTCTACCACTTGAGCCACAGCTCCACTTATAACTTTTTCTTGTAGTTTAGAGATAAAAGTCTCATGGATATACCTGAATGGGCTGGCTTCATTCAAACTGTGATCCTCAGCTCTCAGCCTCCTTAGTAGCTAGGATTACAGGCCTGTACCACGGGCAACTGGCTCAGTTGAAACATTTTTAAGAAAGAACACTACTGGTTTCCTAAGGAAATTCCTCTTGCAACTTGAGAAATTTATCAGCTACTCTAACAACATTACTAACTCTAGGAAAGTAAAACATTCAAAGGAAGTACATCAGATGAAATTCTATACAACTCATGTCTGATTAAAACAGTATGATTTATAGTACAAGATCTTACTATCATGGTTTAAAAAATAATTTAGGTATTGTCTTTAATCTGTTTTAAGTATCATGTTGAGATAATTTGTAAGAAGTCTATGATTAAAACTTTAATGCATCCACAGGTAAACGTACTGTACAAAAACCCTTAGCTAAATTATTAAATACTATAAAAGTTTATATTTGGACTCAAGATATATTTTAGGCCATTGTGAATACAGGTAAATCAATGAGTAGAAAGCTAAATTTTTCTTACCTCCTATTATTTAAGTAAATGGATTTATAACATCATTCATAATAAAGTAGCATTCTTCCAATGTTGTATGCTATAAAATTCTACTTCATAGTCAAGACACTTTATACAATGAATTCTATTTTAATAAATCATTACCATATCATCAAGTATGGTTACTTAAATTTTGATTTCACTTTTTTTGTATTTTCTTGTCTTAAGCATAATGTCACAAAACATAATGAAAGAATAATTTGAGTTAGCAAATTAATAAATTTAAAATTTATTCATGAATAAATAAATTTAAAATTTATTCATTTCCTAAGTCATACTAAAAATGAGAGGCTTTAATAATTTAAAAATTAATTATATTATGTGAAGAAATGTATCTAAATGCTATAGATCAGATAAAAATGATTAATTAGTGATTAGTGAATCCTATGGCAGAAATTTTTTAACCTTTCTTTTCCTTTTGGGATTACTATGGTTTGATGTCAGGGCCTCCTAATAGGCAGGTACTCTGTCACTTGTACCATACCCTACAGGCCTTTCCTGCTTTAATTATTTTTTGGATAGGATATTAATTTTTTGTCTGGAGCCATTTTTAGACCATAATTCTCCTACCTATAACTTCTAGCTGGAATGATAAACATTAATAATAACTCATGAGTTAGTGACTTAGATAAGATCCTACTAATTTCTTGGGTAGGATGACTTTGAACCATGATGCTCCTGATCTCAGTTTCCTATGTAGTTGGGATTATAGGGATAAGCCACCATGCTAGGCCATGGTTGATAGTTTACAAATTAATACTCCTACATAAATTAGAAAATGCATACATAAACAAATTACTTGCTTAAATAGCACAGAAAAAAAGTTAAGAGCAGGTTAGTATAAATAAGAGAAAAGCCATAGAGTGAACTTAAATTTTAACCAGCTACATATATAGTAATAACTTATAAGTATCAACCTTAAATATTTTATCTAGCTTTTGCTAAATCTCTAGCATGACATATAATTTAGCTCATGAGAAAATGCATCCTAAATCTCAGAACTTGTGAAATAAGGGCATATTTATGGTATTTTTAACTACAATTTTGTAGGATTGCAGCACTAAGCAAACTGGAGAAAAAAAACCCATTTATTTTATTTCCCCATGACTTTGTAAAATTCAAAACTTACACTTCTCCTTATTTCTTCTATACAGAATCATATATATTTCAAATGCATGATGTATATATATATATATATATATATTAAACAACCAGATAAAATTACAAAAATTAAGTAATTGAAGCTAAACAGAATCTCTTGTATGCAAGAAGATTACTATTTATAAGGTAAACTGTATTCCAAATAAACGTTTTTTAAGTTTAAAGAAATCTGATGCCTTTTAAAAGCTCTTTGGACTGCATTTTTGGAAATTACTAATTACACATTTTGTAAACAAAAAGAAAATAAACAAAATGTAAATGTAACAATTCTTCTTTTCAAGTCAACTAGGCAAATAAAAAGCCACAAAAATGTACTACAGTGAAATAGAAATGTAAGATGAGACTATGACACTAAACTGAGCCAAAACAACAAACCAAGGAAAATAAAAGGTTGGGATAATTGTTTTAAGTAGCTGATATAAAACTAAACTAAAACCTTGAGCTGAAGAGCTCAGGGACAGTGCCCAGGCCCAGCGTTCAAGGCCCATGACCGACCAAAAAAAGGAAAAACAAAGAATTTGAATATCTAGGAAGAAACAGAGGACTTCTACTTGTAGTAAATAATAATTTAAAAACTCTGAAAAGTCTCTCTTGCAATAATCACAAAACAAGATAATCCACAGAATCCTAACTTGGTTAGGACTCATCAGAAAACTGAGGTTGTCAGGCAACTAACTAGCCTTGAAGTAAACTCAAAAGAAGACAGGAATAGGAATCTCCAAGGAGGAATGGAGGAATGGAATACAGGACCTTGTTTAGCAGGAACAAAGAATAAACGTTTGTCAATGTAACACTGGTAAGATTTCATCCAAACTTTTTAATTAACTTCTAAGTAAATGTAAACTAATTTGAAAAATACGAAATTATGAGAGTTGCAGACACAAGGGAATTTGCAGTAATTACCAGGCTTCTCTAACAATTCTCACTACTCATGGGAGAAACTGAATATAGCACAAAGGGTTTCTTTACTTCCATAGTCTGAGAGGAAGAAGTAAATGTGGCACGATGCATTGCCTCCATCCTTCTTCCCATCTCCTTACTGAACAGAATAAAAGCCTCAAGGACCTGGAGAAAGCAGCAAAACCTATCACATTCAGGGAAAAGTCTATTTAAAAGAAGGAGGAATATTAATTTTTTTCAGCTCTAGGGACAGACCGAAAAACATTCTGAATCCACATATTTATAGACTTTTAATTTCCAAGTAATTAAGCACCCCAAATTTAAGAACAGGAACAGCCCATAACTCAAACTGAGTCTGAACCAAGACAATGGAGAACCATATACCCTTAAACATAACGCCTGTAAGCACCTAGTAAGAAGTATTAGTAGTCTACTGTAGCAAAAAAAGAAAGAAAAAGAAAAGAAGAAATTAGTGTGGAAAATACAAGATCAAAAAGCCTAACACTTAACTAAATACAAAGTAAAGGCAGAAAAGTTCAAAGACTATGGTACAATAAAAATAACTGATGAAAAGAAAAAAACAAACAAAAAACCCCAGCTCAAATCTTGACTAGAATGTTTCAATGCCTGATACTAGAGAATAGAAAAATAGAAATAGATCCATTTCAAACAAATACACATTATATGAGATTGGAAAATAAAACAAAATAGTAGAATCATAATCATAAAAGTATCAGAATTTAAAGTAACTACTGTTAAGAGTTATTCAACAGTTGAAAAGGTAGACAGCATATACAAATAGATGGGGAATTAACCTAAAATATAAAAACTTACAGAATGCATAAACAATATAAAATATGCAATTCCATCATGTTAAATCCTTGAAAATAAAATCTTAGCTACAATGTTAAAAAATATTATGTGTTTGTCTGGACCAGGATAAGTGTGAGTTATAAATGAGGTATAATAGTAATATCTAGGATGATGAATTTATTCCATATTTTTATTATTATGTGATTTTATGGATTCATGAACTGGTAAAAACTCATGAAACTATATCCTTTAAATTTCAGCATCATGAACATACAGTTTCAAAAAAGCCAATCTTGAGAAAAACATACAATTATAAAATACTAAATTTTTAAGAATTAGTCAAATGAAAAACATAAGATTTCTATATAGCAAACAAAACCATTATAGGGTTTTTTTGGCATTTGATTATAGGAATAATTTAAGGAAAATCTAAAGATATGAAAGGAATATATCACAATCATAGTTTGGAAATTAAAATTTCAAAAGATATAAAGATGCAAAATGATCCCAGTTACAAAATTTTAAAAAGTACTTTAAAAATTCCATTTGTAAAAAATGAAAACTCTACCAGGTGGTAAACACTGACAAAACTATTCTAAAATTTAAATCAAACTATGCATAATTAATAAAGCTCAGACTTTCTTGAGGAAAAACAACAGGACTTTACTCAAAAATCATATTGTCCTTTATGAAAATTAAAGCTATTTTTGACCACATACAGAGGATGGACATATAACCATAGAAGACAAATTGGGTCAAAGATTAGTACAAAAGTGTAACAAAGAATATACTGAAGCTGAGTGCCAGTGGCTCATGCCTACAATCCTAGCAACTCAGGAGAATGAGATCTGAGGATCAAGGTTCAATGCCAACTGAGGCAAGAAGTCAATGATCCTTTTATCCACTTAACCACTAGAAAACAGGAAGGGGCAATGTGGCTCAAAGTGGCAGAATGCTAGCCTTGAGCAAAAATGTTCAGAGATAGCACCCAGGCCCTGAGTTCAAGCCCCCATGACTTACAAATATATATATATTGACATTTGTGACAATATATATTGACATTTTGTGACAAAAATGGCAGAGCATGGGACATCAGAATCTTTTAAATAAAGGGTGCTGATAATCTTCATATTATCCCTTTCTCATTGCACTCATAGTCAACTCTAGTTAGAGTACACAGTTAAATATAAAAAGCAAAGAAAAAAGAAGCCAGAAGATAAAAGTGGGATAAAGTATAGCCTAAGATTCCTTAATAACATAATAAGCACTCAAAAACAACAATAAAAACTGGTCATCTGAATTTCATTAAAATGTTTAACTTCATTGGTCAAAAGAGAACATACTGATATTTCTAAGAAAATCTACAACAGAGTGGGAAAAGATACACAGTACATATAACCATTGGAGGGCTAATGTTCAAATTATATAAATAACTATTCATAATGAATAAGAACAAAAGTCAATTTTTTTAATGAGGCTAGAAAAAATCTTAAGAAGCAAACTTAAAGACCAACAAACTTAAAAAAATACAGTGAAATGCCACTATGCTTAGACAAAAATAAAAGAGGGACAACTCTAAATCCTACTAAAGATGTGAAACAACTTGAGTTCTCACTTCCTACTACTCAGTTATTAAATTTGTATAACCACTTTGAAAAATTATTTCACATCATTGCATAAAGTCAACAACATGACACTAAGAATCAGTTACCTAACTGATACACATTCAGGTACCCATATCTTTGCAGTATACCTAAAATGATTAGCAGCTTATTATGTATATAGCAGTACTGTTTGTAACAGCTATAAAAAGAGACATTCCAAATACCTATCATCAGTAAAATGAGTTAAAAAGTTTCAGTATACATACCGAAAGGAAGAATGAACAACTTGATATGTATGAATCTCATGAACTTATTTTGGAACAAAATAAAAAAAATAAAAAATAAAAAAGGTATGTACGTATGATGTACTTAAAATTTCAAAGATGAAAGAGTCCCAACATTATAAGTCATGCTGAAAATTTTGAAGAGAACCATGAGGGAATAGAACCTGAAGTAGAGTATTCTAGGGTACTGGTAAGAGTTTGTTTTGGTGATGGTAACATGAGTGTATTCACTCTTTCACTGTATTTTTGTTATGCTTGTAATAGAAATGTGATTACAAATATATATACATTTGTGTATATGTGTACACTTTAATTCCAGAATGAGAGGCAGTTCACTCTAGTAATACTCTTTAACCACAATAAATAAGGCAGTGTTTGTTTATTCAACTTTCAATGCTCTCTCTCTGTTTCTCCCTCTCTCTATAGCAAATATATATATAGTATATAGTTTATTATACAATTCAAATTTTGTATTTTACTGACTCAATTTCATCAGCTCTCATTGTGCATGTTAAAAGTTGTTGAAAATTAGTAATGTACATTATAGCAGATACTAATATTATTATATTAGTAATATATATATATATTAATATTATATAGTAAAATACATTACTATAATGTATATTACTATATGATATGACATCATATGCTCATTAATATATTTAACAGCATTCTCATTTTATACTTAAATGTAAAAATGATATTTAACAACCAACAAAATGTCATCATATTTATGAAATATAAAGAATATAAAATTAACCTATATCACCAAGAATCCAACTACATGTATGTATTTTTTCTTTTTTTTATTGTGAAAATACTGTACAGAGGGGTTACAATTACATGGGCAAGATAATGAGTACATTTCTTATCAAGCATTGTAGCCTCCTCCTTTGTTTCCCCTCATGTATGTATTTATTATGTATCATATCATTGTGATTAAAAAAGGGAGAGTTGGGCTGGAGAGGTGGCTCAGTGATAGAGTGCTTGCCTTGTATGCATGAGGCCCTGGGTTTGATTCCTCAGCACCATGTAAGGAGAAAAAGCTGGAAGTGGTGCTGTGGGCTCAAGTGGTAGAGTGCTAGCCTTGAGTTGAAGAGCTGAGGGCCAGTACCCAGGCCCAGAGTTCAGGCCCATGACTGAAAAAAAAAAAAAAAAAGGAGAGTAGAGTGAGTAAAAAAACAGTTATGCACACCTCATGTTTTCAGCTGAATCCTCTGGCATTGGAGCAACAGTTTGCACAGCCGGAAGGTTTTTACTGGTAGCACCATTCACAAAACTAGAGGAGGAGGAGGAGGAGGACGAACCTGAATCCACGGCACCTGTTCCCAAAATAACAATTTTTAGTCTTAAATATGAATATTTTAATAAAATAATTTTAATGATGTCATTAGTATTTGCTCATTAAAGAATAAGTCAGCTGAATTTAACAACAGCATTTGGCAGTTAAAAACTAAATGGCCTTTATAGTAATTACAATCTATAATTTTAAATAAAAGGCATTGAATTAAAATCTAGTTGATTTACTTATGTTATAAAAAGCTAACAAAACTACATATATGAATGGGGTATAAATAAAAGACATCAACAAAAGAAAAAATTCTAGATAAAATGAAACTGAAAAAACAATGCAAGTCTAAATGTGCAATTTTTATGGTTATTTCTATGTTGAAATCACTTTAGTATTCATCATTTGAGTCATAATTTACAATATCTTAAGAATAATTTTGTGGCTCTGCAGTATCAAATGTTTGCTTTATAAAGTGATTCTGTAAAAAAGACCAAAATGAACATAATTTGAATTGATTTTAAAATACTGTTGTCCTCAATGATATGAAGATGCCATTTTAGAATGTATTTTCCTATAATTTGCAATGAGTATACTAAATAGTTGTGGAGTTGAGGGACATCTAGTGTTTCTAAATATTATAGTATCATTTAATTCTCATGAAACTGAGTTACTTACTGGTTTATACACTAATATTTATATACTTTTATGTGCCAATATTGAAATTGGACAATGTACCCAGTTTAGATGTTAGCCCACAAATCATCTGTCTGTTTGTATATAGCCAAATATTTATATGTGAATTTAAATACTTTATTCATATTCTTAAGAAGTTCAATGGCTCAACTTTATTTTTAATTGTAATAATTTAATTTAAACTCTCACCAAACTTCTTGTTAATTATAATATTCTTAAGAGAGAAATTAAAAAGTAATGACTTTGTTCATACAAGGACATGAGGTGATTTATTTTTCATATAACTAAATCTTAAGAAAAATAAAAGTTTTATTCAATAAACAACAATAAATTTAGATTATCTTCTCTTCAATCCTAAGACTTTGGTATATGGTAAAGAATACATAGCATACAGTTAAAAATGTTTTCTAGAAAACCAAATAAGTGTAATGAATATAAAATTGAAATACTGGAAAGACTTTCATTTCTTCAGACAAGCCATATATAAACATTTATTTATAATATAGATAAGCAAAAGCTGTTAAAACTCTTTAACGTAATTCCAATAATAATGTTTATCTTCTCATATATGTATATATATATATATATATAAATATGTTTAATAGAGTACATTCTACTTACTACAACCCATAAATGTGTTGTTCATGATATGTCAGACTCAGGTGGTATGATAAACAAGATAGATACAGAAAGCACAAAGAAGAGCTATGAAATTAATAAAAATGGGAATAATCTAAGTAATGATAATAAATGGAAAAGTTCAAGGCTATACAGTTTGGAGAAGAGAAGACTACTATAGTCAGGGAAGAAAATCAGGGATCATCTTGCGTTGTATAAATACCTAAAATGGAATCACAAAGATTTGGGTAAGGATTTATTTAGCTAATAATCAACAGGAACATTTCTGGAAATTTACAAAAAAAAAGATATTTTAGGCAGGCTTTAAAAATCTATAGTGAGTTGGAATTTTTGGTTGCATTAGGACATTGTTGGACAATGACTGGATAAAATTATAATCTAAATATATAAATTCATTCAATGTAAAACAAAGTTTTTATTCACATGCACTTTTTGATAAGTTGAGGCTCTTGCATATCATCAAGGCTCTTCGGGGAGCTTTGCTGTCCCATAGGGGATTAGCAAAGACTATTATTATTCAGTCAATAAAGGTCACTACGTCCATGTTCTGTCACTAGCATTTTAATATACATTGATACTTTTTATACAATTTACTAATTTTTACATAACAGATTTCAATATTCATATTATCATTTACTTTGGCTCCCCAAATAATTTTTAGTAATTTGATTTCTCTAAAAGAGCATTGTAGTTTTGAGAAAACTCAAAACAGACAATAGTGTTCCCTAGAATGACCAAGAAAAACTGCATCCTAGAACTAGAGTCAAGTTCTAAAAAGCTGTAACATAAAGTATAGCATTCTTAAGAGTAAAGTAATCACAAATAAATGGTAAGGGCATTTCAATTTCTAAAGTCAAATAAGAGAAAATGAAGATATAGAAAACAGAAAGAAAAAGATGAGGTATCACAAAAATATTTAAGGACAATACCTGTTGTATTAATCATACTTTTTGGTGTAGCTCCTGTAGCAGCAAATATATTAGAGGTACTGCCTGTTGGCAGCCCACTTCCTGCACTGGTGGCTCCCACAGTGGTGACAGCTAAGCTACCTGGAGGTGGCTTCTTTACAGGCACCACAACACTCCTGCACAGACAGCAGTAACACAAAATAACAAACATGAGTTCAAGATGAATTCTAATTTTACCAAAATCACATAGCCAACATTTAATTCAACTTCCCTCCCTCCATTCCAGTTTGCTTTCTTTCTTTGGCTATCTTTGATCTCTTTCTTACTTTAAATTTTAAGAAAATGCTTAATTTTTGAGACCAACTTCATCAGTGAAAAGCATATAGGTATCAAGGAAACACTGCGAAGTGAACTGATTACAAAATAATAATTTGACAAACATTAATGCAGTATCTGGAGTTTGCAGTTCTTTCCTAAAATCGCTCCATCATGATCAGGGAATATTAGGAAATATGTGCTAACATTAGTAGACTTTACACGCTGAATGAGTATAGAATTTCTTGACAAAGTTTACATCACATGTCCACTTTATACAAATCACATTTTCCATGTATAAAATGTTCATGAAAAATGTAAAACTACCAGCTACTTGGGAGGCAGAGGCAGGAGGATCAAGAGATCCAGGGAGACCAGGCCTGGAAAATGTTTGCATGGCCTTATATCCAAAACAAAATACAACAACAACAGCAACAAAAAGGCTTGGGGAGTGGCTCATGTAGCAGTTGGCTCATGTAGCACTTGCCTCATATGCATGAGACCCTGCAAAATAAAATGAAAAAGTAAAAACAAAAGGTATTAATAAGGAAAATATGAAGTCTCTTTATAGAAAAGCTAAAACTTAGTTATGGCATAGTGACATGCCTATAATCCCAGTACTTGGGAGATTGAGGCAGGAGGATCTTGAGTTTGAGGCCAGAATAGGCTACACAGAAATATCTTGCCTTCAAAAGGAAAGAAAATGCAACTATAGATTAATAAGCAACATCTATGGTAACTGCTATTTTATTCCTATTTTATATTATTTTACTCTTTTAGACTTTATTTTTCTATCAAAATTGCATTGGTTTTCTAGTACAAATGTTATAATGATAAATGAGGTGACAAGGTATATTTGTTTAGAGAACAATTTAGCTTTTGAGTCTTGACTTTTTGAAAACAAGAGTGCAATATTTTCCTATATTATTTTCAAATTTTTAAATTAATTTCACTTAAAAAAATCTAAGCTTTGCAATGTGTTAAGTTAAAATGATAAAAAAAATTGATACCCGTCAACTTAAAACAAAAATATGAATAACAAGATTCTTTCTAAAGTGATAAATATGCAGATTTCCATGCAATGAAAGCCCACTCCCTTCAAATTTTATAGCACTCCAAATTTCACAAATATTTTCCAAACATTATCCAATAACGGTGGTTAACTTGTTTAGAAAAAAAGATTTATGAGATGTCTTCAGCTAAACCTTTCTTGAAAACTAGTGACAGACAATACACAAAAATTTTAAACCTAATATATATCCTTTAATGTACCTATATTACTACTTTTCCATTAAAAAGCTCCACAAATTGGCATATTCTCAAGTATTTAGTTTAAACACGTTTCCTTAACACTAACATTTTTCTCAGAGACGTTTAAGTTCAACATCTTTAATAACTAATTCAATGTTATAAACTAAATTTATAATAATTGTGACTCCTTTTAAGGGGAAAGGCAATCCTGGGGATCAAACTCATTTCTGACCCTTATGAAATAGGAGGTAAAGCACTTGAGCCTAGCTCTGGCACCTTTTTGTATTTGCTACTTTTCTAATGGGACCTTGCTTCTTTTAGTCCTGGCTAGTCTGACCAAAGTCTCCATCTCTTTAGTAACTAAGATTACAGTATTGACCCCACACCAAGCTTGCTTGTGATTATTCTTCTTAATTTTAGAAAAACTTAAATCTTTTCTTAACAAAAGGTATTAACAATCTTAAATAATTTACTTATGCTAAAATTTCCTCCATTCTTTTGCTCACAATATTTTCTTCTTTTTTCTGTAACAATGATATAATAAAATCCTTTTATCTCTATCTTAACTTTCAACGATTTCACCAAAAGCACCAAAGCACTGGTCAGTTCTTAGCATATGGTTTCATTTATTTCATTGTGAGGTACTGTGACATTATACAAGAAATACAGAATATTTTTCCTGCATCTCTTAAAAATTCTTGTGGATAAAGAAGTATAGGCTGAATCAGGGGCCAGTGACTCATGCCTATAATCTAAGTTACTGAGAAGGCTTAGATCTGGATGATAGCTGTTTAATGCTGGCCCCAACAGAAAAGTCTGCTAGATTCTATTTCCAAAATAAACAACATAAAGAAGGTTGAAAGTGTGGCTCACATGTTAGAGCACCAATTGAACAGGTATAAGGATAAGTTTAAACCTCATTTCTCATAAAAGACAAAAAGAAAAAGAAAATAGACCCAGATTGACTGATAGTGCTTTATCAAATGAGTTTGCAGATAATAGAAAAACTATAACCAAAGATTACTGACTATCAGATCAGGGGTAATAAGTTTGTTACACTTCATATAAAAGAATATTAGTAGTGTTTATCCATAGTAATATCCAGTGAAAGAGATGTAAGAAATAAGTGGCACTGTACAAAAAATTCGTATCTCTGGTTTCTCTTATTTGCAATAACTAGTATAAGTCTAGGATAATCTTACCAGACAAGCAGAAAAGGTCAAAAGCTATGTACATATGACCATATAAGATGATGCTAAGCAAAATGAACCCCAAGATAAGGACACAAGAGATTTTTATCTTTGTCACTGTTGGGTTTTAAAAAATGTACTATGTGATTTTTTTGTTTCTTTTGTATATTCTCCCCCATGGCATTACCCCTCCCCCCCTGCATCTTGTATATACATTTTTCTAATTTGGGAAGGGGAAGGGAAATAAAATGCTGAAACAAGATACAGGTTGACCCATTGTAACAATGAGATGTGAAAGACATTATGTTGAAAATGAACTTTACAACTTTGGAGGGGGCAGGGAGGAGTTGGGGAGATAAAGAAGATAGGGATGGTAAAAAAAAAAACAAAGGAAAAAATACTAAGGAGGGAATAACAATGCTAGATAGGAAATGTACTCATTACCCTATTAATGTAACTACAGTATCTTTTTTTGTTTTTTGTGGGGTTTTTTGGCTAGTCCTGGGCTGGAACTCAGGGCCTAGGTACTGTCCCTGTGCTTGTTTTGCTCAAGGCTAGCCCTCTACCACTTGAGCCACAGCACCACTTCTGGCTTTTTCTTTGAATATGGTACTGAGGAATTGAACCCAGGGCTTCATGCATGCGAGGCAAGCACTCTAACACTAAGCCACATTCCCAGTGCCACTGGACAGTATCTTCCAATAAAAAATATATATTAAAAATCAAATCTCAAATTACTATACTTGTAGCTTATCAACAAAATTTAAAAATACTGTATTTGAGTATAGTACAAAAATATAAATATAGAAGCATAGTGGCTAAAGTATCCAACTTTCAAGTGTCTGCAGAGCTGTGTTAGAATACTAGTGGATATGAAAAAAAAATCTCAAGTTCTATTCTCTTCTCTGTTAAAATGAGATTTCTAATGCTTTTCATTGTATAAGATTGTTAAGAAAGACAAAAGGAGATCCACATGCAAAGTGTTCATCATACTATTTATGATATTGTAGAAGAGTGCTGCATTTTAACTAGTATATATATTAGCAACATTACCAAAACTGAAAGAAACAATAATCCTCCAATAGTACACTCTGGTCACTCCTCCTGAACAAAATTCTATGAGCATCACATTTCAAGACTATTAACAAATAGCATCATATCTGTAAGGGAAGAGTTAGGATGGCCTCATATCAGTAAAAACAAGTCATATGAGGAGAGGCTGAAAGGATCTGAAAACTACAAAAAAAAAAAAGAGAAAAATAACAATGTTAAAACCAAGAAGGAGCTTCCATATATCTCAAATAACAATTTATTATTGGTGATGATAGCCTTATTCACTGAGTAGTACATAATAAACTGAACTATTGAATTACTGAATTTATTCTAACTCAATGCTATAAATTTGAGATGTGAGCTAATAAGATCCTTTTATTCAGTCACCCATTTAACAGATTTTTTTTTATTGTGAAAATACTGTACAGAGGGGTTACAATTACATGGGCAAGATAATGAGTTCATTTCTTATCAAGCATTGTAGCCTCCTCCTCTGTTTCCCCTTCCTATCCCTTCCCATTTTCCTCCCCTGCCCCCCACTTATTACTCCTCCCCCTCCCAAGTTGTAAAGTGCATTTTTCGACATAATGACTTGAACATCTCATAGTTGCAATGGGTCCATCTTTATCCCTATTTAAACGATTTGTTTTTTGTTCCCTTTCCCTCCACAAATTATACTGACTTCAAATACAGTGAAAGCAGGAGTTATACCATGGGGAGGGACATACAAAGCAACAAAGAAATAATCTTATAAGTGTGTTAGAAACAATAGCATGAAAGAAAAAAAAAACATTTGAATACATATCTTAGGGTTCATTTCCCTAGCATCAACTTATCTGACCTTTTCTGCTTGACTCATACATATACCAGTTATTGCAAATAAGGGAAACCAAAATTATATTAAGTGAAGTAAGCCATTTAACAAATCTTTACTGAGCAGTGTATTGTGTTAGGGCCTGTTTTAATTTCTAGAGATATAGCCACGTATAGAAAAAAAAATTCACTGGCCTGCTATTTCTTGGTGGTTTGCACTGTGTTTACATTCAAGACCTTTGTTCAACAAGCTTGTCTGCTTGTTGTTTTATCAGCATACCTCCAACCCTGCTTTTTTGCTGCTACTTTGGAGATTGGGGTCCAGTGGATTCTTCTTTTGACTGACCTCAACCATGATTTTCCAAATCTCAATTTTACTGATGTAAATAGTATCACAGCTAAGTATCACAGCTAACTGTCCTCTTGGCACTCATGTAATAAGAGAAGAGACCTAAATGGGAACATATCTGAATAAACATAGTATTTTGAGTGGTAAATGTTAGGAAAACTAAAGCACTGAGAGGAGAAATATTGTTGAAAGAATAGTTCTGTTA